CATTTGCAGGAAGACTTAGTCACCTGCCATTGGGAGTAGAATAGCCTAAATAAAGATCACGGGGCATGCGTGGTGTGTGTGAGCGTGCACGTACACATGCACTGTGGTAGTGATAAGGGTGTTCATTTATCCGTGTCATCCTATTATAACCAAAAATTCACATAAGGGATCATGTTTCTTAGCTCTTTGTTCAGTCTGGTATTTGAACCAGTTAAGCCATCTATTTCCACTCAGATGGTTTAGCAGAAGGAAATACTGGCTTGGAACATAGGGAACTTAGGCCTTCTGTCTAGATGGGACACGATACAACTGCAGTATGTAGAATGTAGTAAGTCCTGCCTCTCTGGGCTTCAGTTTTCTCAGCAGAAAAAGGAGACATGCGGTGAGTCTCCAAGGTTCCTTTGGGCAATCTGTGTGACTCACTGTCAGGGCCATGCCCAGCCTTACTCAGGTCCTAAGGATCATTCCACTCTGACAATGGAGCTGTTTCCATGGATTATGAACTGAAGAACAACCTGATGATGTGTTAATTGAAACAAACTAGTTTCAGGGTGCCTGAGTGGCTCAGTCAGTGAAGCGTCTGCCTCCCAGGGTCCTGGGATTGAGCCCCGCATCGGGCTCCCTGCTCTGCGGGGAGCCTGCTCCTCCCTCTCCTCTGCCCCTCACCCCACTTGTGCTCAGTCTCTGTCAAATGAATACTTCACTTCTACTACCCAAAAGAGTCAGTTTCCCACTACATGTGTTGACTGCAGTAAGCTTCTACAGTAGAAACATTATCCTGTTGCCTCATTTACTCTCAAAGAAGATACCACTGTCAAATCCATACATTTATGGATAATTCTCCTTTTTGATAGCCACAGATATGACTTCGGGTCCTGGCTTACTGGGTAATTCCTTGAAAGACCTATACTGATTTTTAAATATAGGCAAAACATTGTACTTCAGCATGATGGTGATTTCCATTATTCTCTGATTTAGAACTATTTTGGGGTTCTTCCCTAACTTTCTTTATTGTGGTTAAGTACACATACCCTAAAACTTACTATCTTACCCATTTTTAAGCGGCCAGTTCAGCAGTACTAAAGTCCATTCATCCTGTTGTGCATCCACGTCCAGACCGGAGAGAACCGGACCTGAGCTAAGGAGAGCTTTGCAAGATTGCCCAGTGAGCCCGGCACGTGCAAACAGCCCTCTCTCCCGGCCGCTCCTAGGCTCTTGCCTGAATCAGAAGCGACACCCTTCTAACTGTACCAACCCGAAAGAAGTAAGTTTTCTTCTGAAGTCAACTTCTCCTTCTGGATAGAAGGCATGCATTCGTAGGAGAAAACAAGGACTTCCCTCCTGTTTCCTGAGGTTTAGAAACAGAGGTCTTTGAGCACAACCTTGCTGAAGGAACCAGCCTGGCCCCAGTCCCAAGGTCTTTACACGTCAAACAAAGGGCAAAGGGCATTTTCACCAGTGTTAACTTTCGCTGCAGCAAACTGCACATTTTCATTTGCGGTGCACAGGGAACCGCGAGGTGCCCGCCAGAGCACCTGGCTGAGGGAGAGCACACCAGGGCCAGGATGGTGACCGTGAAGGAAACAAAATGGATCGGTTGAACCTGATTGCAAATGGCTAGCAAGTCGAGAGGCTTCCCAAACCTAAGTAACATAAACCCTGCCTGGCTCTGTACACCGAGAACGTGCCCAACATCCTACCAGTAACATCCCACTGCCAATACTCAACTTCTTTAAAAATGAGCATTCCTGTTACCCCCAAGTCCTGTATGTTCCCCTTTTGTTATGGCATCTTGTATTCCAGCAGGAAGCCAGAATAAAGCCCTATTATTTCACCTCGGGAGGGTGGGGAACAGAATCAAAATATGCGTATTTGGGACTGAGGTGATAAGTGGAGGTTTGGGGACACAGGAGTAGGAATTAAAGTCTTCTGCCAGTTGAGGGCCTTGAGGGGCAGAGGTAAATTATTCATCCATTTAAATAACAAGAAAAACACAACCCCCACCGCCTGCCCATTTCATTCTCCTCAAAAGACTGGTGAGATTCAAGGACAGAATTCATGTGAACAAATAGCAGGTATGATTATCAGTAGCAACGGTAACGATATTTATAAGCATAGTAGGTTCAAAGGGTAGGGAGACGCCGTTTCATGGAGGTGGAAGCCAACGGTGGGTAGCTATGGAAACAGATTAGGAAAGGTGTGAGAATCAGACAAATTAGGATTTATTCAGGGGGCCATGGGAAGAAACGGATTTTGACACATGCTATCATACAGCGAATACATTTCTCTAAAACCAGTACAAGAGCAGTAAGAGCAATGACAAGGTCAGGGTGTAGTAAATAGTAAGAGTGGCAAGGAAGGAGATCAGACGAAAGAGGTTTCTTTCTCTTAAAAACAAAAAAAAAGTTAGCACTTTACTCATTTTTTCCTAATTCTGAATATTCAAGGAAGAAAATTCAGAAAATACCATAGAGTAGAGAGAAGAAAATAACATCCACCTGTTACCCCTGTTCGTCTCTTGACAGATGTCTCCCCTAGGCTCACAGAAGACATTCCCAAGAGCTTGGAGACTGGCTAGCCAGAACACATTCACTAAATATGTGAGGACAGACTGAATTGCAAGTTTCGACACTGAGAAGAGAGCGTTGCTATTACCAAGACAGAGACATGTGGTCAGGGAAGAACGGGGGGCATCCAGCCAAAGGATGCGGCACGTGGAAGTACAGGGACATGGCTCCTGATAAGGGCACAGCATTTGGGAAGGCAGAGCTTCTGTTCGGTGACCCCTTGTCCTGACTCCCACTCAAGAGAGTCAAGAGGCGAGATCTTACTTATTCCTACCAAAGAAATGATAATTATACGACGTGATAGCAGGGCTAACTAGCACAGTAATGGCAATCACATTACAATATACTAATGTATCGAGTCAACGTGTTGTACACCTTACATTTACACCGTGTAATGTCAAGTATTTTGTATATTTCAACTAAAAAAAGAGCCAGGGGGCGCTTGGGTGGCTCATTCAGTTGAGCGTCAGACTCTTGGTTTTGGCTCAGGTCATGATCTCATGATCATGAGATCGAGTCCCCCCACCCCTCCCACTGGGCTCCATGCTCAGTGGGGAGTCTGCTTGAGATTCTCTCCCTCTAAAAAAGAGCGAGAGTCTGCAGGGAGGGTGGCGGTAGCTGCAGCCCCAGGCAGTCCTGTGGCCCATGGGACAAGGGCTCCAGTGGTTCTTGATGTCTGTCGGCTGTCGGCAGACTTCCATTCTGACCCTTACTCTCAACCCAAGCCACAGTACACACATAACTGTGTGCCTATGCATTTATATCAACACGTGTGTGCTTCACAGCTAGAAATTTAAAGAGTAACTGAAATTTGATTAAAGAGAAAACAATGCTTAGGAAAAACAACTCAGGCCATTACAGGTTGTTTTCTAACTGGACTTAAAAAAATGAATCTGGATTATTTGTGGCCATTACTATTCATTTCATGAAAATTACTTGTGTCTCCATTCTGGAATAGAGTACAAAAAAAAATCTAGAGGTACTGATAATCTATTTACATTTTGGGAAGTTTGAGCATGAGGCAAAAAAGGATTTATTTCTCCACATCTATTTTACATTTCTAGCTACTGTGCCTTAACTTTAGCACAACAATCCAAACAGTATGTCCAACGCTAAATAAGGTGGCTTATTATGTGGGCATTTCGTCGGTGTGCCTGGTTAACTTTTAAATGAATGCTCAAACGGCTTTAAACATCTAAATATTCACAACATTCTGCCTGGGAGGCCTTCTGTGGTTTTAGCCTAGTCTGTGGTCAAAGACCACAGGTCTAACCAGGTTATCTGGTGATCTCTAGAGCTAGTTCTATTGTTCATGGGATCACTATGGATTGAGAAACCCCATAAAAGAAAAACAGCTCCTAGCATGAAAACAAAAACCAACCAACCAACCAACCAAAGACCACTGTGAATAACTGGATACTGCAAATATCTCACTCTTTCAGGGCCGGTGGTATTACAAAGAGGAACAACTTTTGACAACAAGCCATCCGGAAATATGTATCAAAAGCCACAAAACTCTTTTAGTCTGGTAATCCCATTCCTGAGAATTTATCCTAAGGGAAAACTTCAACCAAGGAAAACAGCTAAATGCATAAAGATGTTCACTGCAGCATTACCTACCTCAGCAAACAATGGAAACAGCCTATGTGTCTCTCAATGGAGTGCTGGAAGAGGATGTTTCTGGGGGAACTGACTGTGGTATGGAAGAGGCCCCAGGATGGGATAAGAGAATGGACAAGCCATGTGTTGGGCTAGGGATGGACACCAGCAGAGCATAAACTTCTGACCTTGTTATATGCAGAGTCACCAATCAGGCCTTCAGATTATAGAGGAAGGTCAAAGCTACAGAAGGACAACTTCAAAAAGTGATAGTCAGGGACGCCTGGGTGGCTCAGTCGGTTAAGCATCTGCCTTCGGCTCAGGTCATGATCCCGGGGTCCTGGGATCAAGTCCCGCATCGGGCTCCCTGCTCAGTTGGGAGTCTGCTTCTCCCTCTGCCCCTCCCCCTGCTCGTGCTGCCTCTCTTTCTCAAATAAATAAAATCTTTAAAAAAAAAAAAAAGAATAAAGGAAAAAAAGACTAAGAAACTTAAAAGACTCACCTACAAAAGTTAGTTTCTTATTTACAAAGGATTTCTGTGGCTGGAGATTTATTTCCTCCCTTGCTGAACCACCGCAGACTCCCTTCCCTCCCGGTACCTTATTAACCACAGGGTCCCTACTGTAGAGATTTCTTTTCCTTCGTCTGTACTGTCCTCTCTCCCAAAACCCAGAGTCCAGAAGCCACTGCCTTCAGAGGTTTCAAGTATCAATCCCTTCCTAACTGCCTACACGGGAACTAATGTGAGAAACTCAAGTTGTGTGTTTTTATTTTTTCATTAATTTCTAAAATGCAAAAAAAGAAACAAGTTACTTAAGAAGGTGAATAACTCACAAACTGGAAGCAGCTCCTGACACTCGGCTCAATGTTACTGCCCCCGAAGGATGCGACTTCACCCAACTGTCTTGGGATTTGGATGGAGTCATGCAGGAGGAGGCCCAGCCTGCGCTGGTCACAAAATCCTGTTGAACTTGCCACTTGCTTGAAAAGGTCTACAAAAGGAAGAAGAGCATTTCAATAATCAAAAAGCAGCACCACGTCGATGCTAGCAGAACCTACCAACCACCTGAATTCCAAGCACTACTTATTGAGAGCAGCCAGTATTCCCACAGATAAGGGTTCCTTCTAATTCACGCTCATCTGCACATTTACTATTTTTATGGATCAAGTTAATCATCACTGTGTGTATACAGAAAGCGTGACAGCTTTTAAATAAACTACAGTCCTGCAAGAAACGTGAGTTTACATACAGTCTTGACACCTAAATTTTCCTAAGCTAAAACGTAATCCTTTGGGAACTATTTCATATATAGGATGTAACCACTATCATAAAATAAATATTTTAGCAGTAAGAGCCATGTAACTGGTCCAAAGCACCATCCCCTTTGGACATGAGAGATTCAAAAATGTACCCCAAATTGGAACTTCTTTATGAAGTCCTAAGATCATTGAGTTTGTTGCATGTATTCCCACAGGCTCCTGTATATATTTGTAACTTAGTTCCAATCACTTTATACTGTCATTGATCTAATACATGCCAGTCTTTGTGGCTGAAAAATGATAACTCCCATGAGAGCAGGGGCCATATTTGGTCAGCTGTGTATGAGAAATGTCACGGAATGAATGAACACACCCAACACTTCCCATGTATGTCTTGTTCTCAGAAATAAAATCATTTCAATCATACCTTGTATTCAAAGAAAAGTTGCCAACAAAAGGAAATTCAAGGAAGCTTTTCCTTTTCATACGCACATTTTAAACTCTATTTGAATATTTTAACCAGGTATCTAAGATGTCAGTGACAAAAGCGAGGCAGCACGCACACCTTCTACCACCTCTCCGATACACATGCACAGATTTTTTTTTTCAAAGTTATGAATTCTCTTCACCTGTCCCAATTTGAAGTTCATATTCTTGTGTCACCAACCTCAAAACAAGTTCCCTCTTAGTCATTTGAAACACAGGCTCAAAGCTCCCTTTGGTATTACAATGGGCTGGTACCATACCATTGATAAGGTTAGGTGACAAACTAACCTGTAAGTAATTCCACTATTTAAAGAAGGAAAACCCACAGAAATATTCTACTTTACCCAAAATACCTTTTTAAATGGTTAATGAAAGCCGTTCAGTTCTCTTTCTTTGGATCCGAGGATTAAAAAAAAAAACAAAACACACTCAAGTGAAAACGACATAAAAGTGAGAGCTAAAAGGGCCTGTGTATTTTGTGGCTTACTCCTGGGGGGAAATAAGCAGTAGGACACAGAGGGGCTTTGGAGAAATTCATTCTCTTTTATCTCCTGCCCATCCTTAAGCTCAGCACATCTCAGCCCTGTGTGGCTAGACATTAGGGGAAAAGAGAAATGACATGATAGGCGAGGTTTGCTTAATATTCCTACCATCAAAACTTCTTACAAGCCTTTAAAGGTGAAAAACAAGTACAGTCCTTCACAATGGGAAAGGAAAGAACGCTCGCTTCCATTGCTCCTCTAGCATTTGCTTTTCATTTGGATTCACACAGTTTAAGTCGAAGAACCCAAGAGTTAACCAAAAGGAAATTCTATAAGGTGATATTTACCCTGTAAGAAATGGCAAGCGATCTGTGTCTCACGTAATAAAATGTTAGTCACGTCACAGAAGTGGATATGTCTGTACAACTTGCAGTAAGATGATTACAAAATAAACAATGTTTCTGGAACACGAATGCCAGATAGTACTCTTTAAATAAGAATCCAAAGACTAAGCAAGGGCATGGATTAAACCTTCACATTTATTTTTCTGACTTTTCCAAAGGGGTTAGGAAATCAGACTTTATCCTCTAGGAACATGTGTTTTATTCAGACACAGTCGATGTAATGTAAAATAATACTTGGACTGGAGGAGTTAATCCTCATTCTCTATTTAAATACCTGCCATTTCGTGTTTGACAGACAACGGCACAAACCAAGTTTTAGGACACTAAAAAGCAGTTCTGTAACTTACAAGAGGAACCCACTGTCACCGCAACGCAAGGCATTCCCCATCTCAAACTGGGGTAATTAGCCAACGTTAATAAAAGAACAGAGTTAACCCCCCACCCCTAATTCAAGTGCTTTCTCTCTAATAAATAAAAATAAAATAAAAAAAAAAAAAAGAACAGAGTTAATACACATGACTTACATCTGTACTTGTCTTCCAAATGGGCTTTGCACAGAGAAATGATGCCAGTTTTAAAAGACAGGACCCGGATCCTCCCTGTTCGTCCCCTATTATGAATAATCAAACCAGAAAACAATTACTGACACTTTAGTAGATGGTAAACACTTCTTAAGAAAAAAAAAAAAAAAAGGAAAAACAAACCCTTGGATACGGGAACTCTACTGACCACTGTTGTATGAAACCAATGGTCTTATTAAGAACTTGTCTATTCATTATGTACTATCTTTGTTATCTGCCTTATCTATTTGGCTCATGGCCTAGAATGCAATGGAAATGTGACCACTTTGACCCAGGAACTTTTACCAAGTTTTCGATTCTTAAAAGCCCTTATTTAGGGGTGCCTGGGTGGCTCAGTCGGTTAAGCGTCTGCCTTCGGCTCAGGTCATGATCTCAGGGTTCTGGAATCGAGCCCCGCGTCGGGCTCCCTGGTCCGCGGAGAGCCTGCTTCTCCCTCTCCCTCTGCCTGCCGCTCTGCCTATCTGTGCTCTCTCTCTATGTCTCTGTCAAATAAATAAATAAAATCCTTTTTTTTTTAAAAAAAAAAAAAAGCCCTTACTTGAATTGTAACAGTAGCTCTACATGAAAAGAGTAAGAAATATCCTTCTATTCAATGGAGAGCCCCCTGGGTGTTTAAGTTGGTCAGTGGGAGGATTACTACTGTGCTTATTGAAGCCCCCCCCCAAGGAAAACCCAGCACTCCCAGATTGGCATCAGACTGCCCTTGATTGAGAAGACACTCACTCACTCGAGGCGACATGCCACATACTATAAAATACACACATTTAGCTTAAGAAAAATACAACATCCTCTATTAAAGAACACTCAAATATATGATCTTAAAGAGCAATTTAAAAACAACCTATTGCAGGGGCGCCTGGGTGGCTCAGTTGGTTAAGCGACTGCCTTCGGCTCAGGTCATGATCCCGGAGTCCCTGGATCGAGTCCCGCATTGGGCTTCCTGCTCAGCGGGGAGCCTGCTTCTCCCTCTGACCCTCCCCCCTCTCATGTGCTCTCTCTCATTCTCTGTCAAATAAATAAATAAAATCTTTAAAAAAATAAAAATAAAAATAAAAACAACCTATTGCTATATCGGTGTTTTAAATATGTTTACACTTTCACTTTTCCTATAAAGCTGAAATAAAGCATTCCTCATGACAAACTTATAAATGGTTCATTTTATCTGTGGGAAAAAAATGGAACACGAAAATGAAAAATGTTCCATTTTGTAGAAAACGATTTTCAATAATTCGCAGCTTTTATCTTGTGAGAGAAAGAAAGTGAACCTTACATGGTGCTTAAAGAGAGAGAGAGAGAGATTATAGAATAATTTTCCCACCTAGCACTTCAAAACTGCAAACAATATGTCCCAACTGGATTTACTTTGGGTGAACAATGTGCTCAACTTTTTAACTGGTACAATTTACTAAATCCCTTAGTCAAACAGGATCCTAATCCATTAACCAAATTACGATCATTGGAAGGTTTCCTTATCTTTTCACCTCTTTAAAAAAGGCAAATTAAAGTTTAACAAGTAAACTTCATAAAGTGTAACTCAGGTCTTCAAGGAGTTAAAACTGTCCCCAAGTAATTGTGAGGCAGGTAGAAGGGAAGTTCTATATACTCAGACGTCATCTGCAAAGAGCACACTGCCAAAACGTATGTGAAGGAACACCTGAGTACAAACCCTTATCAGAGCAAATGTTAAGGGTAATCCACAAATAAAATCCAATATGTTCAAGGGCTTGGTAAATAATTATCAGAATTAAACAGCCAGGTGGTCTTGGAATTCAAAAAGGACTACCTTATCAAAATAACAAGGAAAAAAGTATACATTTTAATCACAGAGGTGGCAGAAATCTACAACAAAGGCAAAACAGCGGAAATGCACCTCTTCTTAGAAAACCTTCCCAGATTTCCAAAGGGGGATAATTCTCGTTGGCATGTGAAATGAGGCATGCAATCATTTTAAGGTCTAAGAAGAATTCAGTCAAAATTCAAACCAATTCTGTCTGCTACCCTCCTCAACTGCCTTCAGTGAGCTCAAGACAAAAACAAGAACTGGGGATACCTCCTGTGTGCAATCCAAAAGAAAGAAACAAGTACTCTCCAAGAGAGTGATGAAGGGAGGTGTCGAACAGAAACTCTGTAGGACGCTATAAAACTTCCTCAGTTTGAGAAGCCGAGTTGGCTCCATTAAGGGCTTATTCTCGTTTTGTTTGGCTTATCAATTCACGATCTTCCGCAAAAAGCTCCTGCGTATCAGCGAACGCTCTTCAGATCTGGTGACAGGTGTGCCAGCATCCCCAAGAGCACACCCATTTCTGCCACTGAGTGGGAGCCGCCCCCGAAGTGGATGGAGGAATTCAAATTACACAGGCAAGAAAAGGCTACACACTGACTCATTCTACTATTTGAAACATGAGTATGAAAAATGAGTATCTCAGGGTTTTGTTTGTTTTCTGAGAGCAATCTACATTCTAGCTCTTACCTCCTAGTTCATCCAAATATTTTTCAGCTTCAGTGAATGCAAAAATGATTTATCACAGGGACAGCACTGGCTCACAGGGCTTCATGAACCTTTCATCCTGAGGACAGTATTTCTAGACTGGGGCCCCTGTTGTGATGCTAATTACACCCGCACCATTCTGGAAACTAAGCTTCCCATGGCAGAGTCCGTAAAGAGCTTGCCATACGTACGTGTCATAAACATTCAGCAGCCAATTGAGACACATATCCACACAGAGAGGGACGTTGACCAGATTGTTGTGTTCTTGCTCCAGGCGATCATAAATAGTGGTCAGACAATTAATGACCTGCAGAATGTCCATGGGCTGGTCATTTTGCTTGAGGTTGTGCTGGTCCAAGGCATCGCAGGCCGCCGACAGGCTCAAGAGATCCACTGCAAAAGCCACAAAAAATCACAAGTGATTCCGAGGGGAAAATCCTCCTTTCACTCTTTTTCCCTTTCCTTGGAAAATCCTGGTCGGGTTGTCTCGTACTCTTTAGTGAACACCAAACCCAAACCCTATCCTCTTTTTAAAAAAAAAAAAAAAATTTTTTTTTTTAATTCCATTTAGTTAACAAATAGTCTACTACTGGTTTCAGGGGTAGAATATAGTGATTCATCTGTTGCACAGAACACCCAGTGCTCATTCCATCAAGTGCCCTCCTTAATGCCCATCACCCAGTTACCCCAACCAGCCACCCACTGCCCCTCCAGCAACCCTCAGTTTGTTTCCTAGAGTTAAGAGTCTCTTATGGTTTGCCTCCCTCTCTGTCTTTATTCTACTTTATTTTCCCTTCCCTTGCCCTATGTTGACCTGTTTTGTCTCTTAAATTCCACATGAGTGAAATCATATGGTCTTTGTCTTTCTGACTGACTTATTTCACTTAGCATAATACCCTCTAATTTCACCCACATCATTGCAAATGGCAAGATTTCATTCTTTTTAATGGCTAGTACTATTCCATTGTATATATATACCACATCTGTTTTATCCATGTGCCCTTCGATAGCTCAGCTGGTAGAATGGAAGACTGTAGAGGTAAACCCTACCCTCCTTTAAAGTGGTTTGTCTCCACCCCCCAGCTCTAAGTTTCCTGGCTGGAGTATTCAGGATCTGAGGTTATTGTGAAATCTCGATGGCACTGGGTGAAAAATGTGGGCGGGGAAAGTTTCCATTCCTGAAGCACAGGGGTATTCATGGGAGAGTTCAGGGAACCTAGAATGTTCTATGGGAACAGAGTCATTTCCACATTCTGAGTAAGAAAAAATCTGTTTTACTAGAAATTCTGAAAGAGTTCCTGACAATACCTTTTCAGATTAGTATTAGGGAAGGTCAGTTTGATTAATCTGTATGGTTAGGGTTGTGTAAATTCTATTTCCAGCTATGCATTTGTAATCATTAAGTGTTTTTCACCTTGAAATTTCAGTCACCTCACAATCTCTGCGCTACCTTAATATTAGGTGAAAAAATCATCAACTTGATTAAAATTTTCGAAAGAGACACTAAAGTAACTGCATAATCTACTCATTTTTTAGACTTGAGGCTCACTTATTTCTCTCACCTTCAAGTTGTATTTTACAACGTACTTTTCAAGTCCTCTAAGAACTTTCTAAGATGGGGGGGGTGGATTCCCTTGCTCTGAAGTGTTATTTACTCATATGCTGCAAGACAAAAATTTAACAAAAGCGAGACCTCAATCACAAGCTTTACTCCCAAATGTCATGGGAAGATGCTTTTCTCTAAAGCCAATTTATTAGCCAAATTGGAAATGCAGCAAGGGTGCTTTTCTAACACCTTATTATACACTTAAGCTCTGGTCTGAATTCTCAGTCCTTGGAGACAAAAGAATCAATGGTAATTAAGTAAATCTCTAGCGCATCTAGTGGGAGGAGACAGTACAATTCTAAATGTAGTTGCAGATAAACCTGGGCCATCCCAGCCAGTAAACAGCTTGCCCGATGCTAAACAGATGCAAATTTAAGACTTCAATGTATTTTACTAGTTATTTGTAGTGAGTTCTAATTAAACGTTGAAGTGGGGGGGGGGGATAGTGGTTAATACCTCTGCAGGTTCATACCTATGTCATGCACGTTTTTCTTTTTTAAAAAAGAAAAATAGTAACCTTTGAAGTTTCCCTGGAAGCCAGAAGGAGACCTGGTGGTGGAAACAGGAGGGGTTTTTGTCTTTCATCCCAGTCAGTAAAGCTCTGTGGCTTCCACGCAGTTTTCCCGAAAATGCCCCGGACTAGCACTCACCCTATCAAAGCAAAGGCCCCACTCCTTTTGTGTTAAAATACTCTCAGGACAGAGAGATGACCTCTTTACACGGAAGCCGAGAATTTATTTAAAGTGGTAGGAAAGAACATACTTGATTTGAGAGGGAGGCAGGTAGGAAAAAGAATGAAGAATAAAAAAAATAATAATAATAATGGAAAAAGGCAGGGGGCCCGGAGGAGGGAAGGGCCCAGCAAGCAGGGGCTACAAGGCAGCCTGGGGAGAGGGACACAGACAGCGGACTCCCAACTTTCTCAGCCCCTCCTCTTCTGTGTGCTGCACTTGCTTAGGGGGCAAATGTTCAGGTGGTGAGAACATTTAAAAAAGCAGCTCACCATCTCCGTGAGTGCAAGAGAGGAACGGCTTTCTTCCAAATGTCAATATTCTCAGCGCGATTCTTTGTAGACTGAAGGAAGCTATGGGTGGTCTGAAGTTTTTCTATCATTTTCTTGTTACTCTGTCTTAATCATTATAAATATTTTGCCTTCCATCTAAGGATACAAGAACTAACAAGGGAGAATTTGTAGACTCAGGTTTGTACTGAGTCTCATTTACTCGTGTGATGGAAGCAAACCAAGTAGCAACATGGCACGAATTTCTTTTTACCGAGTCTACTCTCATCTCTGTACAGGTGAGTGGGTAACACACAGAATAGAAAATTTGGAGTCTAAATAGCTCCAGAGGGGAGCAAGGCAACTGCTCTGGAAGAACAGGAGCAGAGATGACACAGTGAGGGGAGAAATACTGCACAGTGAGCTCTGCTGAAACCAGATGCGGTTAAAAAGGAGAATGGGCCCTCACAGAAGACTGGAGAACACAAACGTACCAAACAGAATTCCCCTTTCGTGGAACAATTTTTTCAAAGACTTCTAGTCGACATCCATAGCCAATACTACGCACTTGAAAAGAGGTGAGAAAATCGATAGGGACAATTTAATTGCCACAGAGTCATGCACTTAAGTGTTCAAAATGACCATCTGAAAGAATACAGTGAGATTTTTTGATGAAACATTAAACATAATGATTCACTGTTTCTAGAAGCCTCAAAAAGCAAGCAGCAGACAATTCTGTGTAACTTTTTTTTTTTTTTTTTTTTAACCTCAAACTAGGAATTTCCATTGGGAGGTGAATATCTTTATCTTCTTACTAGGGACTATATTTTAAAGCCATATAAAAACCAAACATGTGCTAAGATACCCACTCTTTCAAAAATTATTTGTACAGTAGAGGATGCTAGAGGTTTTGACATAATTGAGAAATAGGGGCCATTCATTGGTGTCCCTCCGCATGAGGGCTGTGGGACAGAGAGAGGGTGGGGACAGGACAAAAAGACTTACTCTCCAGGACCCTCTGTGTCCTTCAGGAAAAGCAGAAAAAACAGAAAATGAAGCGGTGTGTGTGGGGGGGGGAGACTGAGCACAGGATCCCATTAATGGCTCCTGGGGCTCTGGCTGCTGAGTAATTGCCCTTTCAACATTCTAGATTCCAATGCTAACTCTACTCCTTTCTACAAATGCCACAAGTGAGGAGCTGAAGCCGATTTTTTTTTTTTTTTTTTTTTTTTTGTCTTTTACTGCCTCTTGGGTTCTGAGGACTAGAAAGCACCTTTAGAATCGGTCTGTAGTTGAGAAAGCAGAGACCAGAAAGAAGGAGCCTCCCTCTGGGAATTATAGCAGGACACGTGGAGGTCCATAGTGAAGAGCACAAAGGGAGGTTGCAGAAGGTGCCCTTATAGACTTGACAGAAAAAGAAAACCATCCCAAGTTCTCTACCAGGGAGAACAGTGGGACAAAAGAGAAGCACCAGAAAGTCAGAGTAAGTCTCACGGTGCCCACATCACCCCCAAGCTCATCCCATGGGTCAATGCAGAGACTCTGTGCTAATATACCAACAATCCCGTAACCTCATCTGTGCAGAGACAGGGGAGGGCACCGCGGGACAAGCGCTGTGTGCCTGCCAGCTCGTGCCCAGGCAGCAGGCACCTGTAGGAAGAGGAGGCTGCTGGTGACGTCATGCCATTCTCCAGGCAGCTGACACTTCAGGCTGAAGGACTTTCCCAGCACATCTTTGCCCAGCAAGAAAGTTGGGGCACTTTGATGTGGTTATCTGTGCTGTGAGGGTTAATTTCAAAGGCTCTGGAGTTGGCCTAAGATTTTTTTTTTTTTTTTTTTTTTTGCTAAAAGGCTACACAATGCAGAGCCTTGATCAAAGCAATGAAAAGAAGTGCCTTACTGTGTTGATCTGTAGCCATGGGTTACGGCTTATCATTACTGTTTATTGGTAGAAGTAACACTGACTGTTTTTACCTGGTTTGGGGGAGACCCATGAAGGTTGCAGGGTATGGGACCGGCTACGTGGGAAGAATATGCCCAGGTTACCAGAAGGCTTTAAGAAACCCTGTATGAGGGGTGCCTGGGTGGCTCAGTCCTTAAGCGTCTGCCTTCGGCTCAGGTGATGATCCCAGGGTCCTGGGATTGAGCCCTGCATCAGGCTCCTTGCTCAGTGGGAAGCCTGCTTCTCCCTCTCCCACTCCCCCTGCTTGTGTTCCCTCTCTTGCTATGTCTCTGTTGGTCAAATAAATAAATGAAATCTAAAAAAAAAAAAAAAGAAAGAAAGAAAAGAAACCCTGTATGAGACTCCACTACATGCTCCCTGGTTTCCAAAGTGGTTTGTACTCACATCGGTGGTTCTTGATCCAAGAGAGAAAGTGCATCCTGGTACCGCTGTTCCAGAGAGCGGGCACACTGGGCTTGCACCGGGCCTCTCTGGACCCTAGGCTGTGAGGCAGCCTGTGGTTTTGATCCTGCTTTTAATGCTGATGGCATATTATAGCCTTTTCCTATAATGAACTGTAAATTTTTAAACACTGTCATTTGGGTTCCGTGAGTCTTCTTTAGCAACTGAGCCCCGACTGCTACTCCCACTGCAATCAGTGTCAGGCGTGAGATTGTTTAGGAGACCCCCCAACTGATCCTTAGCTTAAAAATATGGCTACAGTATTACTGAAAAAGAAAAAAAGAGGATTCTGATAGAAAGGATGAAAATGAGCTGTTGATGCTTGTTGCCAAGCTACCCTTGATTTTTAGTAGCACAGGCTTTGATACTGGTTATCGATGACA